TGTAACACTGATTTTGTTAAGAGAATTGCATTTTCTGCAGTGAAATGACACTTGCACTTTTTGCAGTGAAAAATTGACACTTGCATTTGTCAACAGTGATTCAAGGAAATGGAATTGTGAATTTATGTTCAATTTCAAAGTGAATGTGTTGAATTGAATTTATTAGTGAATATTCCTGGAAAAGTGAAGTTTTGTGTTTCTCGCAATTCTTTCTATAGAGATGATGAATTGCTTTGTAACACTGATTTTGTTAAGACAATTGCATTTTCTGCAGTGAAATGACACTTGCACTTTTTGCAGTGAAAAATTGACACTTGCATTTGTCAACAGTGATTCACGGAAATGAAATTGTGAATGTGAGATTTTTCGATTTCAAAGTGAAAGTGTCGCATTGAATTTATTAGTGAATATTCCTGGAAAAGTGAATTTATGTGTTTCTTGCAATTCTTTCTATGAATGTGATGAATTAATCTATAACACTGATTTTGTTAAGACAATTGCATTTTCTGCAGTGAAATGACACTTGCATTTTATGCAGTGAAAAATTGACCCTAGCATTCGTCAACAGTGATTCAAGGAAATGGAATTGTGAATGTGAGTGTTTGATTTGAAAGTGAATGTGTCACATTGAATTTATTAGTGAATATTCCTAGAAGAGTGAATTTTTGTGTTTCTCGCAATTCTTTCTATGGAGATGATGAATTGATTTGTAACACTGATTTTGTTAAGAGAATTGCATTTTCTGCAGTGAAATGACACTTGCACTTTTTGCAGTGAAAAATTGACACTTGCATTTGTCAACAGTGATTCAAGGAAATGGAATTGTGAATTTATGTTCAATTTCAAAGTGAATGTGTTGAATTGAATTTATGAGTGAATATTCCTGGAAAAGTGAAGTTTTGTGTTTCTCGCAATTCATTCTATGGAGGTGATGAATTGATTTGTAACACTGATTTTGATAAGACAATTGCACTTTCTGCAGTGACATGACACTTGCATTTTTTTGCAGTGAAAAATGAACACTTGCATTTGTCAACAGTGATTCAAGGAAATGGAATTGTGAATGTGAGATTTTTCGATTTCAAAGTGAAAGTGTCGCATTGAATTTATTAGTGAATATTCCTGGAAAAGTGAATTTATGTGTTTCTTGCAATTCTTTCTATGGATGTGATGAATTATTATGTAACACTGATTTTGTTAAGACAATTGCATTTTCTGCAGTGAAATGACACTTGCATTTTATGCAGCGAAAATTTGACACTAGCATTCGCCAACAGTGATTCAAGGAAATGGAATTGTGAATGTGAGTGTTCGATTTGAAAGTGAATGTGTCGCATTGAATTTATTATTGCATATTCCTGGAAAAGTGAATTTTTGTGTTTCACGCAATTCTTTCTATGGAGGTGATGAATTGATTTGTAACACTGATTTTGATAAGACAATTGCATTTTTTGCAGTGAAAAATTGACACTTGCATTTGTCAACAGTGATTCAAGGAAATGGAATTGTGAATTTTTGTTCAATTTCAAAGTGAATGTGTCGCATTGAATTTATTAGTGAATATTCCTGGAAAAGTGAATTTTTGTGTTTCTCGCAATTCTTTCTATGGAGATGATGAATTGATTTGTAACACTGATTTTGATAAGACAATTGCATTTTCTGCAGTGATATTACACTTGCATTTTTTGCAGTGAAAAATTGACACTTGCATTTGTCAACAGTGATTCAAGGAAATGGAATTGTGAATTTGTGTTCGATTTGAAAGTGAATGTGTCGCATTGAATTTATTAGTGAATATTCCTGTAAAAGTGAATTTTTGTGTTTCTCGCAATTCTTTCTATGGAGATGATGAATTGATTTGTAACACTGATTTTGATAAGACAATTGCATTTTCTGCAGTGATATGACACTTGCATTTTATGCAGTGAAAAATTGACATTTGCATTCGTCAACAGTTATTCAAGGAAATGGAATTGTGAATTTGTGTTCGATTTGAAAGTGAATGTGTCGCATTGAATTTATTAGTGAATATTCCTGGAAAAGTGAATTTTTGTGTTTCTCGCAATTCTTTCTATGGAGATGATGAATTGATTTGTAACACTGATTTTGATAAGACAATTGCATTTTCTGCAGTGAAATGACACTTGCACTTTTTGCAGTGAAAAATTGACACTTGCATTTGTCAACAGTGATTCAAGGAAATGGAATTGTGAATTTGTGTTCAATTTCAAAGTGAATGTGTCGCATTGAATTTATTGGTGAATATTCCTGGAAAAGTGAATTTTTGTGTTTCTCGCAATTCTTTCTATGGAGATGATGAATTGATTTGTAACACTGATTTTGATAAGACAATTGCATTTTCTGCAGTGATATGACACTTGCATTTTATGCAGTGAAAAATTGACATTTGCATTCGTCAACAGTTATTCAAGGAAATGGAATTGTGGATGTGAGAGTTCGATTTTAAAGTGAATGTGTCGCATTGAATTTATTAGTGAATATTCCTGGAAAAGTGAATTTTTGTGTTTCTCGCAATTCTTTCTATGGAGGTGATGAATTGATTTGTAACACTGATTTTGATAAGACAATTGCATTTTATGCAGTGACATGACACTTGCATTTTTTGCAGTGAAAAATTGACACTTGCATTTGTCAACAGTGATTCAAGGAAATGGAATTGTGAATTTATGTTCAATTTCAAAGTGAATGTGTTGAATTGAATTTATTAGTGAATATTCCTGGAAAAGTGAAGTTTTGTGTTTCTCGCAATTCTTTCTATGGAGATGATGAATTGCTTTGTAACACTGATTTTGTTAAGACAATTGCATTTTCTGCAGTGAAATGACACTTGCACTTTTTGCAGTGAAAAATTGACACTTGCATTTGTCAACAGTGATTCAAGGAAATGAAATTGTGAATGTGAGACTTTTCGATTTCAAAGTGAAAGTGTCGCATTGAATTTATTAGTGAATATTCCTGGAAAAGTGAATTTATGTGTTTCTTGAAATTCTTTCTATGGATGTGATGAATTAATCTGTAACACTGATTTTGTTAAGACAATTGCATTTCCTGCAATGAAATGACACTTGCATTTTATGCATTGAAAAATTGACACTAGCATTCGCCAACAGTGATTCAAGGAAAAGGAATTGTGAATGTGAGTGTTCGATTTGAAAGTGAATGTGTCGCATTGAATTTATTATTGCATATTCCTGGAAAAGTGAATTTTTGTGTTTCACGCAATTCTTTCTATGGAGATGATGAATTGATTTGTAACACTGATTTTGATAAGACACTTGCATTTTCTGCAGTGAAAAATTGACATTTGCATTTGTCAACAGTGATTCAAGGAAATGGAATTGTGAATTTGTGTTCGATTTGAAAGTGAATGTGTCGCATTGAATTTATTAGTAAATTTTGCTGGAAAAGTGAATTTTTGTGTTTCTTGCAATTCTTTCTATGGAGGTGATGAATTGATTTGTAACACTGATTTTGATAAGACAATTGCATTTTATGCAGTGACATGACACTTGCATTTTTTGCATTGAAAAATTGACACTTGCATTTGTCAACAGTGATTCAAGGAAATGGAATTGTGAATTTGAGACTTTTCGATTTCAAAGTGAAAGTGTCGCATTGAATTTATTAGTGAATATTCCTGGAAAAGTGAATTTATGTGTTTCTTGCAATTCTTTCTATGGATGTGATGAATTAATCTGTAACACTGATTTTGTTAAGACAATTGCATTTTCTGCAGTGAAATGATACTTGCATTTTATGCAGTGAAAAATTGACCCTAGCATTCGTCAACAGTGATTCAAGGAAATGGAATTGTGAATGTGAGATTTCGATTTCAAAGTGAATGTGTCACGTTGAATTTATTATTGCATATTCCTGGAAAGGTGAATTTATGTGTTTCTCGCAATTCTTTCTATGGAGGTGATGAATTGATTTGTAACACTGATTTTGTTAAGACAATTGCATTCCCTAATGTAGATTTTCCGTAAGATCCGTGGAATTCCATAACAAATTCCATGGAATTCCATGGAAAAAGTGTTCCATGGAATTCCGAGGAATTCTCGAGAGTATTGGGACGGAACTTTTTTGGAATGGTATGGAATTTCAAATCTAGCCTGGAAAAGAGCGGAACAATGCCAGAATAGAAATTTGCGGAAATAGCTGGAAATCCATGGAATTCCAGGATATTTGGAAATCTATGGAATTCCATGGAAATCCAAGGAATTCCAGGAAAATACAAAAACTGGAATAATCAAAATAATTTAAGGGCCAAATAATTACAAAAAAAAAAATGACTACATCACAATTTTTCATAAATCAAATCTATATTTTCAAAATAAAAAATCATTTTTGCTTTACAATGTGTTTGGGGACAAATATTGCATACACACTTCTATGTATAATGAAAGCACAAATTTTAAAAAGTATTATCAATGAAAGTATTTTACATCAAAGATTATTTAAACAATGTTAAAAATCCACAGAAAAATATCATTACTGGATGATCACCTTGGTTTAATTACTGTAGATTCCTAAAAATACGCGAAGAATTAATTATCGCGTAATTACGCGAGAAGCACCACTCGCGAAATAAAATTACTCGCTTTTATTTTAATGGTGCTGAAATCAATGTAAAATCCCTTGATCAACCGTCCACTCGCGAATTATTGTTTTCGCTTTTTGATGTTAAAGAGCCATTTCGCGATAAAAAGTACTCGCGAAAAATAAGGAATTTACAGTAATGAGAATTATTATAATATACATGCATGTACATGTAGTAAATTATGGTCTGCATGAGAAACAAATGACTTTTGGTTAAAGAAAATCCTTTGTACCTAGAGTAATCTCAAACATATGACATTTTTTAATAATAAAACAAAATAGATTTTAAAAAAAACATTAATTATGACCTTTTGCTTCATTGAATGACCTTGGGAAAGGTCACTAAAGCCTTAACAGGGTATATTTGCAACATTGTATACAGTTACAATGATCTTCCAGTGGTCCATATACATTTACCATACAAAGTTAATGACTAGAGTGACAAACATATGTATTAAGTACACAAATATCTACTACACAACTATATTTGAAAGATCCCATAAAATCAACACATGCTATTTTTTTCCCCAACATGCCCCAAGATCCTAATTATTGAAGGTCCTAAACTTCTGAAGTATTGGCTAGAATCACTTCCTCACTGGTTCTGTTAGAGGGTGGTCAGATAATTGGTGTCACGAATGGATTCACTTTTGGTACGACGGCTTCAAAAGCTCAGCAAGTTTGATGTTGATCATTCCCAAAGACACTTCAAACTTTTCTTGCTCAATTTCTGAAAGAAAAGATTACCATAAAGATGTATGATATCTATCTCATGTATAAATATATGACAAATAATAAACTAAAGCTATATAAGACAATTGGTTCTTTCAACCTGGCAGATCAGTTTAATACTGTAGAATAGGAATTTATTATCTTGTAATTTTTTGTTCAGATTAGGATTGATTTCTTTTTAAACTAATGGAAGTTGTGAAATTAAAAAAAAATAAAGAGACATGATTGTGTCTAAGTTAATTAACCTTGAATATGAGAGAGAACATTGTAAATTACATAAACTATGTACCCTTAAAAACATTCAGCAAATAAAGTTAAGGTATGAAAAAAAGTACATTAGTAAATATAATTTATATACCATATAAAACATTCAGTTTTGCCTTGTCAATGGCTCGTCTTTTGTCTCTTAAGCTTCTGATTAAAAGCACCTTGAACAGGAGTTTGGACGCCTATGCTGCCTTTGATATATTATCCTCCATATCAGCTTACTCCGTTAACTGACCCTTGAAAAGAGGAAAAGACGAATTTATAGGCATATGTAATTGCTTTAAATGCACATTGGTTAATTTACAATGTAACAAAAATATAGACAAAGCAAATAACATAAAGTGAATATATAGAATACATTTGTTCTAGGCTTCAAACATGCAAATACATGTACATATACTTTATTTTTGAAAAATTAAGAAAATATTAAACAAACTGTTATAAATACATGTAACTTCCATGCCTCAACAATTCAGTATTGAGTAAGATAATATATTAATACATGTATACATGTACTTCTTTATTTCTGGAAATTTATATCTGCGACTAAGGTTATAGGTTTGTGTAAGAATATGATGAATGACATTGACAAGGCGTAGGTAAAAACTTGTGAACAGGACAGAGAACTGACATAGGAAACAAGTTAAAAGCAACAACTTCTTAAAATAACTAAAATATATTTGAAAGAGTGGAGTCTAAGGTTCATAATAACTTTTCTCAATGCCTGGCTAACATTGATAAACACATAATTTCAATTCTTTTGATTTTATTGATTAGGAAAATGATTAAAAAATCTTACCTTTGTGTAAATTTCCATACAGCTCTCTCGCTCTTGTCCTTTTTGTGAGCATTCCTGTAAATAATGCATGCATGATTTTATGTCATAGAGTATAGTCATTTTTAATATTTATACTTAAATAAAATGTAAAATGATTATGCATGTAGCATTTAGCATGTTTAGATTACCTGTCAAAAGTTATGTTATGCATTATTAAGGAATTAAGAATATAAACCTCTTGTTACTTGCTCAATAAAAAAAATCTTACGCTATAAAACATTAATTAATAAAAACAATGTTAGTTTATTTGTGCTGAATGATAATTTGAGCAGGCTCTCACCATTCTCACAAGCTAGGTGACTGAATGACTTAGCATCTACATCTACATATTAGGACATTTCATCAAACTTGATGATTATATGCCGGCGCTGTGCAAATCGAGTACTTCAGCTATAAAATAATAAAAGTAAGTGCTGTGAATGATCATGAACGTGCATTAAAAAATAGATACAATTATTTACAATGTACTCTGTAAATGTAAGTATAAGTACATGTACTAAGGAATGTTATTAGCTAATAATTCGGACCAGAGTTCTGAACTGGCCCCAAAGAGGCTGCCGACACCACTGAGCATGGAAGAGAAATAAATTTCCATAATGGGGGGGGGGGGGGGGGACTATATTTAAATTATCTGTGCATGTCTAAAGGTCTGAGAGTAAGGAAGACTTGAAATGCCTTTGTTGGTGGTAGTCTGTGAAACTAAATAGAGGCTTGGGTCTACCGCAACTAAGTTGTGCACAACTTTATATCATATAGACAGCTTATAGAGCATTATTAGTCTACCACCGTCTACACGTTTTTTCTTTGTTGTAAACATGGTAAAGATAGCCAATTTAGATGTTGCATGTTGCAACATATTAGAGACACTAATAGTGTTATGATGTCTGTGTACGATGTAACATGGACTGTCGTGGCGCAATTGGCAACGTGCCACTAGCATATATAGCGAGGTCTAAGGACATGTACGAACGGAGGAAATTCGGGTTGAAATCCACACATTGTTCAAACATATTTTGATAAGAGATGTTTAGAGTTGTACAATAATAATTAAAGAAATGAAACTCGCCCTAATGGTTTCATCGTCGGGCATTCTATGTGTGTGGTGCCCAGACTGAGGAACAGTCAATTATCCATTCAACTTCAAGAACACATAAAATACTGATTACTGTACATTGTACCTACCGGGTCTTAAAATGTCTGCATCTTTTGTCAAAATACAAATTCCATTCCAAGCTAATAATGACAGCAGTTCCCTTCTTCGTGACACTCTCTTTCCTTCTGTCCAACAATTACCATACAACATGGCAGCCGAATTGTTGAATTTTGGCGGGCTGTAGTTTAAATTAATTGTTCATCGAGCCCGACATCGATCCCGACGTAATTGTACTATGAGCCGACAGTTTAAGAAAAAATTCTAAGTTATTTTCCACAGCTTTCCAGAGCAGAAAATGTCTAAGTTTCTCATTTTATCAGCTTTTCCATAGAATTCCACAACTTTCCAAACCTCAAAATGTCTAAGTCCAAATTTGTTATTCAAATTCCAAAAGATTCCAAAAACTTCCAAAAACACTTTTAGACTCTTGTATGGAAATGTTTGGAATTCCATGGAATTCCAAAACTTTTCCAAACCCTTTGGAAAATCTACATTAGGGTTTTGTGCAGTGAAATGACACTTGCATTTTATGCAGTGAAAAATTGACCCTAAGCATTCGTCAACTGTGAGTGAGTGATTCAATGAAATGGAATTGTGAATGTGAGACTTTTCGATTTCAAAGTGAAAGTGTCGCATTGAATTTATTAGTGAATATTCCTGGAAAAGTGAATTTATGTGTTTCTTGCAATTCTTTCTATGGATGTGATGAATTAATCTGTAACACTGATTTTGTTAAGACAATTGCATTTTCTGCAGTGAAATGACACTTGCATTTTATGCAGTGAAAAATTGACACTAGCATTCGTCAACAATGATTCAAGGAAATGGAATTGTGAATTTGTGTTCAATTTGATGGTGAATGTGTCGCATTGAATTTATTAGTGAATATTCCTGGAAAAGTGAATTTTTGTGTTTCTCGCAATTCTTTCTATGGAGGTGATGAATTGATTTGTAACACTGATTTTGATAAGACAATTGCATTTTCTGCAGTGAAATGACACTTGCACTTTTTGCAGTGAAAAATTGACACTTGCATTCGTCAACAGTGATTCAAGGAAATGGAATTGTGAATTTGTGTTCGATTTGAATCTGAATGTGTCGCGTTGAACTTATTAGTGAATATTCCTGGAAAAGTGAATTTTTGTGTTTCTCGCAATTCTTTCTATGGATGTGATGAATTAATCTGTAACACTGATTTTGTTAAGACAATTGCATTTTATGCAGTGACATGACACTTGCATTTTTTCCAGTGAAAAATTGACACTTGCATTTGTCAACAGTGATTCAAGGAAATGGAATTGTGAATTTATTTTCGATTTCAAAGTGAAAGTGTCGCATTGAATTTATTAGTGAATATTCCTGGAAAAGTGAATTTATGTGTTTCTTGCAATTCTTTCTATGGAGGTGATGAATTAATCTGTAACACTGATTTTGTTAAGACAATTGCATTTTGTGCAGTGAAATGACACTTGCATTTTATGCAGTGAAAAATTGACCCTAGCATTCGTCAACAGTGATTCAAGGAAATGGAATTGTGAATGTGAGAGTTCGATTTGAAAGTGAATGTGTCGCATTGAATTTATTAGTGAATATTCCTGGAAAAGTGATTTTTTGTGTTTCTTGCAATTCTTTCTATGGAGGTGATGAATTGATTTGTAACACTGATTTTGATAAGACAATTGCATTTTATGCAGTGACATGACACTTGCATTTTTTGCAGTGATTCAAGGAAATGGAAATGTGAATGTGAGACTTTTCGATTTCAAAGTGAAAGTGTCGCATTGAATTTATTAGTGAATATTCCTGGAAAAGTGAATTTATGTGTTTCTCGCAATTCTTTCTATGGAGATGATGAATTGATTTGTAACACTGATTTTGTTAAAACAATTGCATTTTCTGCAGTAAAATGACACTTGCACTTTTTCCAGTGAAAAATTGACACTTGCATTTGTCAACAGTGATTCAAGGAAATGAAATTGTGAATTTGTGTTCAATTTGATGGTGAATGTGTCGCATTGAATTTATTAGTGAATATTCCTGGAAAAGTGAATTTTTGTGTTTCTTGCAATTCTTTCTATGGATGTGATGAATTAATCTGTAACACTGATTTTGTTAAGACAATTGCATTTTCTGCAGTGAAATAACTTTGGCATTTTATGCAGTGAAAAATTGACACTTGCATTCGTCAACAGTGATTCAGGGAAATGGAATTGTGAATTTGTGTTCGATTTGAAACTAAATGTGTCGCGTTGAACTTATTCGTGAATATTCCTGGAAAAGTGAATTTTTGTGTTTCTCGCAATTCTTTCTATGGAGATGATGAATTGATTTGTAACACTGATTTTGAAAAGACAATTGCATTTTATGCAGTGACATGACACTTGCATTTTTTGCAGTGAAAAATTGACACTTGCATTTGTCAACAGTGATTCAAGGAAATGGAATTGTGAATTTATTTTCGATTTCAAAGTGAAAGTGTCGCATTGAATTTATTAGTGAATATTCCTGGAAAAGTGAATTTATGTGTTTCTTGCAATTCTTTCTATGGAGGTGATGAATTGATTTGTAACACTGATTTTGATAAGACAATTGCATTTTCTGCAGTGATATGACACTTGCATTTTATGCAGTGAAAAAATGACATTTGCATTCGTCAACAGTGATTCAAGGAAATGGAATTGTGAATGTGAGAGTTCGATTTGAAAGTGAATGTGTCGCATTGAATTTATTAGTGAATATTCCTGGAAAAGTGATTTTTTGTGTTTCTTGCAATTCTTTCTATGGAGGTGATGAATTGATTTGTAACACTGATTTTGATAAGACAATTGCATTTTATGCAGTGACATGACACTTGCATTTTTTGCAGTGATTCAAGGAAATGGAAATGTGAATGTGAGACTTTTCGATTTCAAAGTGAAAGTGTCGCATTGAATTTATTAGTGAATATTCCTGGAAAAGTGAATTTATGTGTTTCTTGCAATTCTTTCTATGGATGTGATGAATTAATCTGTAACACTGATTTTGTTAAGACAATTGCATTTTCTGCAGTGAAATGACACTTGCATTTTATGCAGTGAAAAATTGACACTAGCATTCGTCAACAATGATTCAAGGAAATGGAATTGTGAATTTGTGTTCAATTTGATGGTGAATGTGTCGCATTGAATTTATTAGTGAATATTCCTGGAAAAGTGAATTTTTGTGTTTCTCGCAATTCTTTCTATGGAGGTGATGAATTGATTTGTAACACTGATTTTGATAAGACAATTGCATTTTCTGCAGTGAAATGACACTTGCACTTTTTGCAGTGAAAAATTGACACTTGCATTCATCAACAGTGATTCAAGGAAATGGAATTGTGAATTTGTGTTCGATTTGAATCTGAATGTGTCGCGTTGAACTTATTAGTGAATATTCCTGGAAAAGTGAATTTTTGTGTTTCTCGCAATTCTTTCTATGGAGATGATGAATTGATTTGAAACACTGATTTTGATAAGACAATTGCATTTTATTCAGTGACATGACACTTGAATTTTTTCCAGTGAAAAATTGACACTTGCATTTGTCAACAGTGATTCAAGGAAATGGAATTGTGAATTTATTTTCGATTTCAAAGTGAAAGTGTCGCATTGAATTTATTAGTGAATATTCCTGGAAAAGTGAATTTATGTGTTTCTTGCAATTCTTTCTATGGATGTGATGAATTAATCTGTAACACTGATTTTGTTAAGACAATTGCATTTTGTGCAGTGAAATAACTTTGGCATTTTATGCAGTGAAAAAATGACACTAGCATTCGTCAACAGTGATTCAAGGAAATGGAATTGTGAATGTGAGAGTTCGATTTGAAAGTGAATGTGTCGCATTGAATTTATTAGTGAATATTCCTGGAAAAGTGAAGTTTTGTGTTTCTCGCAATTCTTTCTATGGAGGTGATGAATTGATTTGTAACACTGATTTTGATAAGACAATTGCATTTTATGCAGTGACATGACACTTGCATTTTTTGCAGTGATTCAAGGAAATGGAAATGTGAATGTGAGACTTTTCGATTTGAAAGTGAAAGTGTCGCATTGAATTTATTAGTGAATATTCCTGGAAAAGTGAATTTATGTGTTTCTTGCAATTCTTTCTATGGATGTGATGAATTAATCTGTAACACTGATTTTGTTAAGACAATTGCATTTTGTGCAGTGAAATGACACTTGCATTTTATGCAGTGAAAAATTGACACTAGCATTCGTCAACAATGATTCAAGGAAATGGAATTGTGAATGTGAGAGTTCGATTTTAAAGTGAATGTGTCGCATTGAATTCATTAGTGAATATTCCTGGAAAAGTGAATTTATGTGTTTCTTGCAATTCTTTCTATGGAGGTGATGAATTGATTTGTAACACTGATTTTGATAAGACAATTGCATTTTCTGCAGTGATATGACACTTGCATTTTATGCAGTGAAAAAATGACATTTTCATTCGTCAACAGTGATTCAAGGAAATGGAATTGTGAATGTGAGAGTTCGATTTGAAAGTGAATGTGTCGCATTGAATTTATTAGTGAATATTCCTGGAAAAGTGAATTTTTGTGTTTCTCGCAATTCTTTCTATGGAGGTGATGAATTGATTTGTAACACTGATTTTGATAAGACAATTGCATTTTATGCAGTGACATGACACTTGCATTTTTTGCAGTGATTCAAGGAAATGGAAATGTGAATGTGAGACTTTTCGATTTCAAAGTGAAAGTGTCGCATTGAATTTATTAGTGAATATTCCTGGAAAAGTGAATTTATGTGTTTCTTGCAATTCTTTCTATGGAGGTGATGAATTGATTTGTAACACTGATTTTGATAAGACAATTGCATTTTGTGCATTGATATGACACTTGCATTTTATGCAGTGAAAAAATGACATTTGCATTCGTCAACAATGATTCAAGGAAATGGAATTGTGAATTTGTGTTCAATTTGATGGTGAATGTGTCGCATTGAATTTATTAGTGAATATTCCTGGAAAAGTGAATTTTTGTGTTTCTCGCAATTCTTTCTATGGAGGTGATGAATTGATTTGTAACACTGATTTTGATAAGACAATTGCATTTTCTGCAGTGAAATGACACTTG